TATATAAATTCATTTAAATTTCAACAATGAAACCGTTCACTTTGCAATGCATTTAAATATTTAAGTTTAAATTTTTTCTATTTGCGATGTTTATCTGACTTTGATAAAGAGTTCGTTTAAGAGATAAAAGATAATATAACTATATTATTTAATTATTTTATAAATATTACTTTTGCTAAATTCGTGTTTATAAATTTTCGGTGAAAGTTTTCATAGGAAAAGAACTATACTATTTTGAAAATATTAGAAATAAAGATTCTGAAAAAATTATAAATAAAGATAATTATTTATTTATCGACAAGAATCCTTAAACATTTCTAGTAATTTAACATTAAAATAAAGGAAGTATATCTAGATAAAATGGTTTCCTAAACTTCTTGTTAATCGAAAACAGCTAGCTAGAAAACCCTACAATATTCCTTAGTAAACGAACTTTGTACAATTAAACTTTATACAATTGCGCTATATAAGATCGTTTCCACGGAGCCCAGATACCAGGAGGGCGATCGACATAGGAAAATAACTAGTAAACGCAACTGGAAAAACAAGGAAAAATCATTTTCGGAAATACGCTGCTAGGTTTCGTTATATTCGCTAATGTCAAGTTTAAACGTCATATTTTTCATTGACAATTGTTGACAATACTGCATCATTAACAATTGTATTAATGTTTTTTTAATTTATAAAAAGTAATATTTATTTTAAAATGGTAAATAAATGTATTGTTCATGGGTGTACAAGTAGACGAGTTAAGGATCGTAATAAGAATGCTAAATTAAATCAGAGAAATACGTTTTTATTCACTGTACCACAGGTAATATAATCTTAATTGATAGTTATTAATTACTAATATAAAAAAATGCAATGATGCAAATGGTAAAAAGTCTAGTCTTGTAAAAAGTGCAATTTACGATAATAAATTACAATTTACTTTTAATTGGACTTTTTAAATTTAGTTTTCCATCCTTTATTCAACTGCGACTAGGTAAGATGAAATTGAATAGATTTAGACAACAAGTTGACGATAATATCTTGGGAATAATTGTAAAATAATAAAAAATTTGTTCTTATTGCTATTTTTAATGTTAATTATAGGATTTGGTTAATTTATTTTGACTAACGCATGAGTACTATTATTTTGACAACGCGCGAAAATAAACAAGGTTTTAAAAACCTGATATTAGCCATACTAACGCGCTCTAGTGGCAAAAGATCTGTCCCGTCATTTTCGGACATTTCTAATACATTGCGATCGCCCTCCGTTATCTAGGCTCCGAGGCCTCGTTACCCACAGAAATTGAAAGACAACTCTATCTAGGAGATTGTCAATGAATTACATATATGTAATACTTCTATATGGACAGTTTCTATAAGTGGAAGCTGTTCCGACTAAGAAAGACAGAAGAATAACACTTTCTCTGTCCTCCGAGGTTCCAGCTCGGTTCTGCGCATTCTTTTGTGCGCAAAGGGGAAAGCAGCGGGTTATTCAAAACAGGAATGTTATTATAAAATTTTTTTTTTAATTCAATGCAAATTTATTTTAAAATACAAGATAATACTGAACAATTATTTTTTTACTGTTTAGGAGAATTTAAAAGAATAATTTTATTAAAAAGAAGAAGTATTTTTGAAATWAAAAAAAAAATAAACCTCACTCAAACTATTTTTGTTTCTTGGAAATGCTTGTMAAAAATTTTAAATTATATCTTAAGTACTTGGACGTGAAAATATTAGTGAAATATAATAAAATAAAAAAATGTAACTAATCGTTTAACTGATACAAGTTTATTTTACACAAAAATTAGTATGCAGTTTGTTAATTTCTTATTGGTTATAAAATAAAATGAGTCTATTATATTTTTGCCGAACATAATTATCTTTAACTGATAATTTTTTGGCTTCATAAAAAAATCTTGTGTTTAAATATACTTCAATAATCCATTTACATAACTGATAACGATGATTATCAGAAAAATTTTGAAGTAAAACATGATCGTTCATTTCTTTATTATCAAACATTAGTCCTATTTTTCGACATATTTCATTTGTAACAATARTTTTTATATTTTTGTTCAGTAATTCATGAGAACGTTGTCTAATTATTTTTTCTGAAGTCTTAMAAATACTAATAACATCTTTCGATRRTATTTTAAATGGTCCTCTATTTTTGATAAGAGATAAAARAGGCATAGATTCACTTGATTCATCCGAAATTAATTGATTTTTGCAAACAGGACAGAATATTATTTTAGAGACTCTGTGTGAAACATAACCCGCTATATATAGAACAATWTTTTCAACAAATGGAGATAAATCCCAGCAATAACGAATATAATCGTGATCCGAAATATCGGGATTTTCAGTGTTTTGAAGCAAATCTGCATGTCCAATTTGGTCGTAACAATTTCTTGTGTTTGATRATACGTGTAAAATGTCTACATTGTCAAAGGCGCAATTACCATTTTCGAATTGTTTCAATTCATGCCTTACTAACAAACGCTTATACGCATTTTTAAATTGTAAAACATTAGGATTATTATTGAAACCTCCACGACTTCTGATAGCGCTAAAAAATGTTTCAATGTAATCTTGAGACAGCTTATATGTCAATAAATAAGTCATTCCTTCTTTTTTTAATTGATCATAAAGAGGAAATATATTCCTTAGAGCTATAATCATCCCAATAAAGCCATCCTTCTATGTTTATACATAAATCTTATTATTTTACTTTTTTGCAAAGTATTGAGTACATTATATTGRTTGACAATATTATTCTCAGAAAAACATGATGACGATTGATTGCTGACTCCATTCTCATCAAATACTTCCGATAGCGGCGTGTTTGGTGGTAATTTACTAGTTTTATCAATACTGAGTGGATTTGTTAAATAAAGTGTAGGARCTGCATTACGTTTTRWAGAAGATTTAACAACTCCAAAAATTTTTGATTGACAAATATCATCAGCTTTGAAATGTCTGGAACATATGTAAGTTCTTTTTACATCATTATTTTCAGTTAATCCACAAGCATTTAGCCACTTCAAACGTATCTCCAAATTTTTCGGAAATCTAAAATTGATCAAATTTAAATATTATTAATAACATAATAAAGGATTTCATCTAAAAAATTAAAAATAATTTGCACTTACTGATGCAAAGAAATATTGTCAGCTCTCGACGCTTTTCTATCACATAAATAACACAACTTCACCATTTTTCAATAACTGATTGTTGGAAAAAGAATATTATTTAAATAAAAACAAAAGTTTTTTAAAATTTATAATTKTTTTTCTGAATTACAATAATAAATATATTTGTAAACAGAATCATAACCACAAAATTATTCCCMTCATTCTTCCCCCTCTATTAATATCATGGGGAATTCTCAAGCATGCGCAACGTGAACCAGGTATCTCGGACGAGAGAGAAAATAGTATATGTCGGCACCTTAATAGTGGGACATTCCTTCCCATTTAAACTGTCCATATAGAAGTATTACATATATGATGAATTACCGCTATGGAGTTCTACACTGTATTTGAAAAAATGGCGGAAATAATATTATACTTGATCAACGAGACACGATTATTTTCAAATGTAGATTTTGTACAAAATGAAAATAAATTACAACGAAATTTATTACATACAGAATTCAAAAAGTGTAAAAAATGGATAATAATCATTGTTAAATAGGTAAATAAAATATTTTCTATGTATTTTAACATTTAACAAATACAATGACTCAAACAATTGATCAAATTTTCTCTCTCTCACAGTCTTTAAATTTTTATATAATTGAACGCAGGTTAATAAAGAATGTAAGAAAATATTTTATTATAATACATACATAGTTTTCGTTGTTCACATAGTACAGAAATAATTTAAATATGTTACAGACATTTTAAGCAACATTAAATGAAATTAACAAATCGTGTGTGGCGTCTCGCACCTGTTCGGTGCTGACACCCCATGGTTGACTATCCGTAGCTCCGATGTCTTGCTCCAGGACGGTGCCGACATCTCRCGGCTGCCAGCGCCAGGTTCGGCAGACGTATCCAAAAACTACTAGAGGTGCGCGCGTCTAGCAGCGATACTTTCTGCCTCGGCTTTGTAACCAAANTAACGTGCTAGAGGTGCGCGCGTCTAGCAGCGATACTTTCTGCCTCGGCTTTGTAACCAAACCATGATGTAGAGGCGGCCGATTGGTCAGAACTCGCGGCGTAATTGCACCTGGGAGTCTGATTGGTCGGGCCTAGTGACGAACATCCCGGATCATCTCCTCGCTCCTCGGAGATCATCGATCCAACGGATTTCTCGATAGGAGTTCAATTTTATTCGCCAAGCTTATCAGTCGACTGCGCTTGCTCGCTCTTCCGTATCAATTTATCGTTCTGTATCTCGTTGTGCGTGTGTATATAAATTCTGTATATAAATTCTGTATATAAATTCTGTATATAAATTCTGTATATTGTTGAATAAAATTTGTTCCGAGAGATCGCAAATAAAAAAGGTGAAATCCCTTGTTGTGTCCGGCTTCCTCATTGGTTGTTACGGTGGTCAGTAACTAGCTATTCGGCCCGCGGACATTGGATTTTCCACAATACCATATGTTGCTCGGAGAATAAGCGGCAACATCGCAACGATGCTATGCTAGCTTTGTATACCTGAGTATACTATATGTTGCTCGGAGANACTTCTATGCGTCTTGGTATGCTATCTATTACACTTTTCAGGCTTAATATTTTCCCAAGTGACTTTTACTTCTGACCACAATTCAATAATACTTCTCGAATTCTGATCGAAATTGACAGCTGCTCTTTTCAGTAAACCCCATAGGTTTTCTATTGGGTTTAGATCGGGAGATTGTGGGGGCCAGTCTAAAACAGTAAACCGATGAACTGTTAACCATTCTTTGGTGATTTTTGCTTGGTGTTTAGGGTTGTTGTGTTAAAAAATGACTTCTTCTGCATTCTTATTCCATTTTGCCAAGCTTCCAATTAAACTTATGCAGGATGGATTTGTATGATGTTGCAGTCATTTGACATTCAATTTTCTCAACGCATTCGACGTCCTCACTGGTCATGCAACCCCTAACCATGATATGACCTTCTCCAAACCTTAATGCTGGATGAACGTGATGCGGCCGCAGTTGTTCTTTAATTCTTTGCCATGTCCATTCGCGTCCATCGCACCCAAAATGATTAATTTTCATCTCGTCTGACCATACTACTCGGGCCCAATCGAGATCTGTATAATTTTTATATTTTTCTGCAAACTGCAGTCAAAGCTTCTTGTGCCGCTTTGTAAGAAGAGGTTTCTTTATTTTTGATTACGTTCAACATTAATCGTGAACAAGTAATTGGTACAACTTTTAATTATGTGTATTTGTTACTTTATTATGATATATAATAATAGTCATATAATTTATGTTCCATGTATCAATTATTATTTACAAAGTTTTAAGAATATTAAGTTAATGTTTAACAAAATAGCAAAATTACAATAACAATAGTGTAGCTGGTGCATTTAAATAATGCTTTTGAATCGAGCTTTTATTATTACAGTTTTTATCAAAATATTTTTTAGTAATGTACTTTTATTATAAATGAAATTCTAACGTTTGTTGAAGAAAGAAGAGAAAGAAATCTTTCGTGGTTAATTTACAGTATTATATAATATTTACAGTAAGTTACTTTGTGTCCAATTAAGCTTGTAGTACTGGTCTTTCGTGTTTACCTTCCAAAGAATCATTTACGGCTGCGTAACCAGTACCACCCTGCAAAATGAAAAATGAAAAATAAAAAGGTTCTTTATTTAAAAGCATTTATTTATGTCTTTTAAATATGTGTGTGCATATTACCCTTTGTAAAGGTATAATATCTTCTTCTGTTAATTTTGAACTGTCCAATGGATTGATCCATTCCTTTTTTATTATTTTTTCGACACACTCCATTGTGATGACATCACCACTAAAATTAATATTTATTTATTTAATTAATAATATAAATAATTAATAGAATTAATATCAATTTAATTTAATTTTATAATATTCATTTTAGTTATTCACTTACCATCATTTAGTATTTCACTTACCTCGTTTTAATTACTGCACAGGGAATGCTGTTGCTTAAAATATCATGCGTAATGGGACACATATATCTTGCTTGTTTAACTATAAGCGATTTATTATCATCTGGATCTTTAACTTCTGTAAATTTAACTGAAATAAGATCGCTCATTTTTAAAGGTTTGCCACTAAGAGGACAGTAAATCGTTTTACTGGGTTTTTGTAATTTTGTCTTTTTTGCCTCTGGTGTTTTAGAAGGAATCCAAAAACTAGGTAATGCTTTATCTTTTCCATTACTCATATTCGAAACCGAAGCAGTCGATTGATTCAACTTTGATTTAGTCCTAGAAACAATATTCTTTTCGTTTTTCAAGAAATCCTGTAATTTTAATAGCTCTGCATTCACAGTTTGTTCTCGTAACTCTTCCTATAATTGAAAACAGGGAAAAAATATTATGAATACCGTTATTCTCATTCATTATTTAATAGTAACTCAATAATTTGAAATTTACCTCTTCTTTCTGTTTTTGTTTTTCATATTCTTTTAATTTTCTGGTATATTCTCTCTTCTTTGTTAAAATATATTCTAATATTGCTTCTTTGTCAAAAAGATAACCATCTTTTCTGTAAACAATAGGATTGATAAAAACATTGAATGGAATTAACCCCTTAACGCACAGATTTTTTGAAAAACCGACCAAAAAAAATCAATTTCTTTGTAAGTAAAAATACACACTTTAGAACATTATTTTGGCAAAAAACTAAGAAAAAATACAAAATTAATCAAAATTTTATCGAATTAACTCGACCGCACATGTTAAGGAGTTAAAGAATTTTTTAATAAAAATTAATAAATAATAATTAATAAACAATACATACGTTACTACAGGTTCTCTGCAAGGTTGTAAAGTAAGACAGCAACAATCAAAATCCTTTACAGAATCTTTTCCTACTCTTTGAGTGTTGGTACCATAACCTGAAGCATTTGCATCTTTCTTTTTCTCGTGATAAGTGTAAACAGCACCTGCTGTACAATTTCTTGCGTGTCTCGTCATTGTTTTAATTAATTTTTCTTAATGGTAAACTTTTTTTTACGATCTTGTGTGAGAATAATTTTTTACGAATCACCAAAAACTAACAAAGTAACTTTGTTTTATTTACTGTTTACAGAAGCGCAGAATATATAATCTGTTCAATTCATCCGTTTCAATTCGTATGGATGTTTAACGAAGAATATGGAAGAATCCAAGTTTACCTACTGTGGAATTGATATTGTAGCGACTATCGCGAGAGCTTGATGGCGCTACCTACCGGCGGGCAGGCATAACAGTGTAAGCCGCCGTCAGAGAGCGCACAGACTGTGTGAAAATGACGGGACAGATCTCTTGTCACTAGAGCGCGTTAGTGTGGCTAATATCAGGTTTTTAAAACCTTGTTTATTTTCGCGCGTTGTCAAAATAATAGTATTCACGCGTTAGTCAAAATAAATTAACCAAATCCTATAATTAACGTTAAAAATAGCAATAAGAACAAATTTTTTATTATTTTACAATTATTCCCAAGATGATAATTGTAATTGTACTAACGCGTGAGTACAATGGTCACATTTCCGCGACAATAAACAAGGTTTTAAAAACCTGATATTAGCCACACTAACGCGTTCTAGTGGCAAAAGATCTGTCCCCTCATTTTCGAACATTTCTAATACATTGCGATCGCCCTCCTGTTATCTAGGCTCCGTGACTGTTACATTCAACTTCGAACTTAATTGGTATAATTCCCGTATAGGGAGAAAAGGCGCTAGTGTATCACGACGGTACACTAGGCGCGTATCGCTACTCTCTTTTCCTTTTGATTTACGGTAAGAATCTGGCTTGTTGAATGATTTTTTGTTATCCAAGAAATCCTATTAATATAAAGTATGTATATTATAATTTTTATGAAATATTTTATTTATTGTATTCTGTTTTTACAATTTGAAGTATATTTTCACTTATTGAGACAATTTTCTTTAAAGTTTAAAAGAAATTTGTTACAAGTAAATGCTGCCAAAATGTTTTGAACGTTTTGTTTTACACTATTTATTTAATCAGAATTTAAGCAATCATTGTTTTTTCTATTTTTACTACGGTACTAAAATTATCTTACAATAATTCTATATCATTAATTAATTTTTGTATAAATGCAACGTGGTTAAACCTAACCTAGCAAAATCTTGGATAACAGATTTTATAAGTGATGTTTGTAGTAACGTGTTAGTAAAGGTGTTCTGTATTTTTACAGATGTCGGATATGAAGACTAAATCGCCGGAAAAAGCTGCTGAGGCAGCTGCTTCTGAAAAGAAAGAAGTAAAGAAAAAATTTGGAAAACCAAGAAATTATGACCTAGGAAATGGTGTCTACAGGTTTAGCCGTTCGCGAATGTATCATAAAAAAGCCATCTATAAGTTTATAGATAAAAAGACCCCCAAGATCGTAAATAATTTATATTTAATAATTTCCACTTATAAAACATGGAATAGATTTAATGAAAATTTGTTTTTGTGTAGGTAAAACTTAAGAAACCCTTGACCGCCGAGAAAGAAATTGGTGGTGATAAGAACGGAGAAAAACGTATTGTCTTATTAAAAAAGAGAAGATCTAATTATCCCACAGCAGATCCTATAACTAAAAGACATGCCAAAAAATGTTTCCGAGAACACCACCGATATTTAAGACCCAGTTTAGTTCCAGGAACCATTTGCATTTTATTAGCTGGGTCGCACAAGGGAAAGCGTGTTGTTTTCTTGAAACAACTAAAAACTGGATTACTTTTAGTTACAGGTTTGTTTTGATATTACATTTGTCATAACTCAATTTATCTATCCATTTTATTATTCCTACAAAACTCAATTAATGTTCTAAAATTTTGTTAGGTCCATTCCTCATCAATGGTTGCCCGTTACGTAGAATCAATCAGAACTACGTCATAGCAACTTCAACACGCATTGATCTTTCTGGATATAAATTACCAGAACACATCAACGATGAATACTTCAAGAGGAAACGTGATAAGCGCGCTAAGAAAGAAGAAGGCGATATCTTTAGTAAAAAGAAGGAAGAATACAAGCCAAATGATCAAAGAAAATCTGATCAAAAGATTGTGGACAAAGTTGTTATAGATGCAATTAAGAAAAGTCAAGATAAAAAATTATTGTTTACTTATCTCTCAGCAATGTTCGGCTTGAGGAGCAGTCAGTATCCGCATAGATTAAAATTCTAATAGGCGGTGTTACATCTTCATTTGTTTGTAACTTTTGGAGAAATAATAAATAACAACTTTACATTATATATGCTTTACAATTAATTATAAACCCAATAATCATAACGTCCAATTAAAAAAAAATTTGCACGTTTTATTCTAATAAGGTTTTCATTTGTAAACGATATTGCTCTTATTTTTTTTACGATTAACTATATATATATATATATAATTGCATTTATATATACTTATTTTATAAATTATTAAAAACGTTATATACTCATATACAAAATATCTCGAAGTGTTCAATAGAAGAAAAGAAAAAGAACTTTCTATATTTTATTTTTATATATTCAATGAAAATATAATTGATCAATTGATATAAGAAAATTATAATGAAACAAACTATCGAGTAAATAATGTATCAAATCTAACATTACATTTACAAATAATACGTTTCTTGTTTTTCACGATAAATGTATATATATATAATGTGTGTGATTACTATATAGATACATATATACACATATTTCCCTCTCTCTGGTTTCCTTTAAACCGCCCCCACATAATTGCTTATGATTCAGTCTGATGATTAGACTTTGACGTTACGTTAGTAACATGAAGAGTTAGCATATCGAATAGCATCAAACACTACCAACCAACATAAAATATAGATGATAACTTGACTGACAGAAAGAAAGAAAGAGAAAGAGAAAAAAAGATAGAAAAAAGAAGAACTTTATTAGTGATATACAGCTATAGTGATATCGACTAGATGTCCTAGAAGGTGTAGAGATATATAGGTGTTTCAGTCAATTGCGTGATACATGTGACAGAGTGTGTTAAATGTCTTCCAGAGTTAACGAATTCGCTGCTAATTATCAACGTTTTAATGATGACACTAATCAATCTTTGGAACAAGACATTTCTCATGGATCTAACCAAAGTAAGTTATAATATTTTGCGATTGAATTTTTTGTCCTTATCCGTATTTAATCGATATTTAAACTGTAACTAGTGGTAAATCTCAAAAGAAAAGTTTAACAACGTAGACTAACTTTTGTTAATTTTTTTTTTTTTAATTGCCTTTTCTCAATGAGTACACATTTTTACGCTTGTATTTTTAAATACAGGTAACCCTCCTATAACACGGTAGATAGGTTCCTAGAAATGTGTTGTGTGAAAACGTGTACAAAGGTTTTTTTGTAAAAAAAACCGTGTTATAGGATGCCATGTTGTAGGAGGGTTCCCGCAATTTATAAATCGTGTTATAGCGAAACCGTGTTATAAGATGCCGTGTTGTAGGACGGCTACCTGTATGTTATGTTAGAGTAAGATATTATTATTTTTTGTTTTTCTCTTTTTTTTTTTTTTTAATTTTATCTTATGTTGTACGTAAAAATTTATATATAACGGTGATGCCATTGAATTTTATTTGGAGTCTAAAAATTTTCTATATCATATAACTGTACTTTTGAATTAATTTTATTTAGGAGAAAATTTATGCGTTGTTATTATTATTGATCATACTGCAATATTAATGTCTTATAATAATTTTTTATTTTTCTTTCGTATAAAAAGTAAAATATATGTGATAAACGATATAACGATCAGTTTAATTGAATTTTATTTATGATATAAATATTTTTTAGAAATTTCTTTTTACTGAATTTAAATTAGTTTCTTTAGAAGCAGTAATTTATGCAAAATTGTAATTAATTATAAATTTACAACGTAAATATTCTTCTAATAAATGCTTTAATTAATTATAATCAATTACAACAAATTACTGTACATGGAATAACATAATTAATTTTGTACACATACTTTTATATACTTGTAACTTTTTATAGAATATGGATCTATGTTGTCTTCCCCAGAAAGTCATGTAAGAATATCTTTAGATGAAACGGAAAATTCCAATAAAACAAATTACAAATTTGATACCGAAAGGATGGATAATACTAATGTTCCTGAAAATACCATCATTGTTTCCCAAGAAGAACCATTGGACATTGATATGCATTGGGAAATGAATTATCACGAAGCTGCTATTTTTTTAGAGGTATTATTATTAATTAATATCTAACATTTTATTTCAATAAATAAGATATAATATTTCTTCTATAAATTAAAATATATACAAAGTTAATGTATAATTTTAAATAAATTCTCATTTAATTATACATTATAATATTATAATTTTTAAAATCTTTATGTCATATTAATTAAATGAAATAAATTTATGTTCATAGGAAGGACGAAATAATGAAAAATTTGATTCGCATCCTAGACATCCAGAGGATTTACCGGCGTATCTTTTAGTTCATAATAAGTGGTATTACGGACTAGATTTATTAACATCTCTTATTCTATTAGCTTTAGCATTCGTTGAAGAACCAGCTGTCTCATTATTCCAAGTGAGTTATGAAATGTAATAATAAAAAAAAGCATCGTTTTACCCTTAGCTGAAACAATAATCACACAACGAATAAAAAATACTTTTAGATGCCGGTATGGGGTCACAGTACGATAGAACTACTCTGTTTAATTACTATCGGCATAGAATTAGCTTTGAAACTGAGATGGATCGGTTGGGGAACTATGCTGAAACATAAACGTACAATGATAAAGGTAAAAAATACAAAATTAATGATTATTTATATTCAAATAAATTTAGATAATGTATTTTAAAAAGTATTCACAATGAGGAAGCTTTTATCTCTAATAATAATAACAATTCTCGTCAAAAGTTAAACAGTAAAAAAACAGAGATAAGGAAAGCTGCAGCTGCAAACTAATAAGAAGTATTTGAGTTTTTAACGATTACTATGGTAACAATGAAATAATTTATTTTAACCATTAGTTTCATATCAACATTATTAAGTCCAATGATACGATGTATCTAAGAAAACAAATTAAACTGGAACATTTGTTACGGTAACGTGTCATTGCGAGTGGAATATTATGAAAGTCTTTAATACGATTTGTGCAATAAATTGATATATACATATGTAATACATTATTAGCATACTCATTTATTTTCATTCTTATTATGCAACCTTATTAAAACTTCAGACATCTGAGTCTACTTTGACGGAAGATTCATTAGATATTCATCCGCTACTTAAATGTTTAGTATAAACATGTGTACTATTAAAGGAATCATAGATTTCTTTGTATATACATTTTTATTTGTTTTTAATTTTTAAATAAACATTTTAATTATTGTTTCAGTGCATTACTCTAGCCATTATGTTCCTCGAGGCTATGGTTGTTCTAGTACGGCAGTCTTCTCATTTTAGAGTAACACGAGCTTTAAGACCTATTTTCTTGGTAGATACAAAATATTGTGGCGGAGTTAGAAGATTTATAAGACAGATATTATTAACATTACCGCCAATTTTGGATATGTTAGGACTACTTCTATTCTTCATTTCTGTGTACACAGTATTGGGTTATTTTATGTTTTCGGAAATGAATAGAAATTTTTCAACATTGGAAAATAGTTTTGTAAGCTTATTTGTTCTTCTCACCACGGCAAAGTAAGTCAATCATATTGTTGTGTTCCTTGAAGTATAATATTAATTAAATATTAAATTTTTAGCTTTCCAGATGTAATGATGCCATCTTATTCCAAAAATAAATGGTACGCAATATATTTTGTATCATATTTGTCGACTATGTTATACGTAATGATGAATTTAATGCTAGCTGTTGTAAACGAAACGTTTACATCAGCGGAACGAGATAAATTTAAAAAATTATATTTGCATAAAAGAAAAGCTTGTCAGCATGCTTTTAAACTATTAGTTTCTAAACAGAATCCAGATAAAATGAAATTTCGACAATTCGAAGGTTTAATGAGATATTATGCACCACATAAATGTAAGTCCAAAATAATATATTATTATTATATTAAACGTGTTTTATTATAATTATTTATATATTCACTATTCTATATCTTTATTATGTAAATATTTTTTAGCTACAAGGGATATTGTTTTAATGTTTCGTTACATGAATGTCTCTGGAAGCGGTGCGTTGAATTCTGAAGAATTTTTAGTAATATATGATGCTACAATGCTTCAATGGGAAGTAGAATACTCTAATATACCGTGGTATCATTCAGCATGGCAACCTTTGCAAATGTTATGCATTGGTGCTCACACTGCTATTAGGTGGACATATTTTGAAAGTTTAGTATGTAAGTAAATAAATTATACATTATGTCTAGAAAATAACATCTCATATACTAAAAATTTATACTATTCTTTTTTTTATAGACATAATAATTATAGGAAATGGAATAGCAATGATAATCCGATTAGTACAACCAAGTGAAAATATTCAAGTATCGGTTCACAAATTTGCGGCCTGTTGGGACACCTTGCTTTTTGGAAGTTGTAAGTTTAACAATATTTTATAATTCTTAATTATTTTATGAATATAATTAGTGATTAAACAATAATTACAGTGTTTATATCGGAAGCATTGGCTAAAATATTGGGCCTTGGGATTAAACGTTATCTTAGTTCCGGATGGAATCTTTTTGATTTAGGAGCTTCCATTATGACTTTAGTTGCTGCTTGCGGACTTATTTTGTTTCCTAATGCTATGTTCTTAGTGTTGTTCAGACCTTTGAGGCTTTTAAGACTTTTCAAAATAAAAAAGCGTTATCGAGATGTATTCGGTACGCTTGTTATATTGTTTCCCCTAATGTGTTCTACTGCTATTGTTATGCTTGTTTTATACTATTTCTTTGCTATCATTGGAATGGAATTATTCGCTGGATATGATATGAGAAATTGTTGCAAGTACGTATAATGCAGATATCTTTCTAAATGTATATACATTATGATAAGTATTTTCTTGCTATATTATCTCTATATTTAAATTATCTATATTTGATTTTATTAGAAACACAACTGTTGAAGATTTTTATAAATATTCTGCTAATGGAAGTACTGCATTAGGATATTATTATCTCAACACATTTGATAATTTAATAGCTAGCAGCGTAACGCTCTTTGAATTAACTGTTGTTAACAATTGGTTCATATTAATGAACGCGTATGCTATTACCGTTGGTATGTATACCCGGTCATATTTTATGACATTCTATTTGGTAACCATGATCGTCCTCACTATCGTGGTATCCAGTTTCTTGGAAGCATTTAGATTTAGAATACAATATAAAAGATCAACGTCTAAACACGATGGTAAGTTGTATAAACGTGATAATATCATTTTTCTGTCAAGGAAATTTATGTAACGCACATATAACATTAACCTGGTATATTATTATATTTCTGTAGAAGAAAAAATGTTGCACGAAGAAGTCGAATTAAGATGGAATGAGTTACAATGTATAATAGAAGATGTTCAACTTCTCGAGGAGTTACGATCTTCATTAGTTGTTGGCGTAAGTATTCTGTGATCTTTCATCAAATTTAAATTCCAATTATTTATTTCAAATACTTATCATTTTTTTTACACAGGGCACTACTCTTTTTATTGGTTCGCGACCTCGTACCAGAGAGGTTTTACAACGAAAAATGTATACTAATGAAATAACTGAGTGGATATCGGAAGCTAAGTTAGAAGAACGTCAAAATGGTATTACTGTAATAAATAATCATATAGAAAGTAGAGAAGGTAACGATATTTCTGATTCCGAACTTGTTTTACATCGAAGATCGCGATCTCCACAAAGTAACGGTGTTACACAACGCACCTAATAATATTCAGTAATATTTATTCAATTGTACAAATTAAATTCGTCGACAATTTTCCGTCAATTCATTCAATTTTTAGTATCATCTCAAACGATATAATATCTTCCTTTATTTTTATTTCTTTAGGATTGTTAAAGCGAATTAAATTAAGAAGAGCACGAATACGTCTGTCCTAAGTAGATTTCTATTTTAAAAAGAGAGAACGTTTTAAGATTAACTTATTTTAAGGAAATAAATATAATTTATTATTGGCGACATGAATAGAGACATAAACAAAAGCAATTAATGTGATCTTATTAATGCTGGCATTAATATATATATAATAATAATAATAATACTACATATATGTAGTTGTGTTGTGATGAGTTGTTATGTTATGTTATTATGTTATGTTATGATTATATATATCATATATATATATATATATTATTTTATATATATTATATATATATATATATATTGTAGTTGGGTTGTCGAAAAGTAATTTCGTTTTTTCTCGACAGAGGATTTAATTGTATTTTTCTTGTGTGTGAAAAAGTTTAATTGATTCTACGCAGTAGTTTTTGGTTGGTGCCCTTTTAAATATGGAGAGAGAAAAGCAGCATTTTCGTCATATTTTACTTTTTTACTATAGAAAAGGTAAAAATGCTGTTCAAGCCAGAAAGAAATTAACCGATATGTATGGAGAAGATGTATTGACACTACGCCAGTGCTACTACTGGTTTGCAAAATTTCGATCCGGCAATTTTAATGTCGAAGATGCACAATGTTCTGGAAGGCCAGTTAAAGCTGATAAAAATATAGTAAAGGCATTAGTTGATACAAACCGGAAAATAACAATATGTGAGATCGGTGAAAAGTTAAATTTATCAAATTCAACTGTTCATGCCTACTTGAAAGGCCTAAGTTTAACTTCGAAGCTCGATAGATGAGTTCCTCATGTTCCCACGGAGAGAAATTTGTGTCACCGCATTGACATCAATGTGATTTGCTTCTCAAACGTCACAAAAATGATCCATTTTTGAAACGCATTATTACTGGAGACGAAAAATGAGTTGTATATAACAATGTCAAACGCAAGAAATCATGGAGCAAAAAAAGATGAAGCATTTCGAAAGCAGATATCCATCGAAAAAAAGTGATGCTGTCTGTTTGGTGAGATTTCAAAGGAATCATTTTTTTTGAGCTTTTACTGGGTAACACAACAATTAATTCGGAAGTCTATTGTCATCAGTTGGACAAATTGAATGATGCACTTTAACAGAAAAGGATAGAATTAATCAACTGAAAAGGTGTAGTTTTACCACGCGAGACCTCATACAAGTTTGGTCACTCGTCAAAAGCTTTTACAGCTTAAATGGGATATACTGTCACACCCACTATACTCTCCAGATCTCGCACCTCTGGATTATTATTTGTTCCGGTCACTGTAACACTTTTTAAACGGTAAAATACTTAATTCAAATGAGGAGATAAAAAATCACCTAGATCAGTTTTTGGCCAGCAAAAAGCAAAAATTTTGTGAACGTGAAATCATGCTACTGCCAGAAAAATGGCAGAAAGTATTGGAAAAGAATGGTCAATATATAATTTAATAAAATATTTATTTATTATACGAAAATTGTCTTTCTTTTTCACACAAAAAAAACGAAATTACTTTACGAACAACACGATATATATATTTTTTTGACATATTATTTAATACATTAAGCTCTAAGCCTTTTTTCTTGAGCTTTTCATTTAGGCCACAATAATCTATCAGCAATAGGAAAAGAATGTCGGCTGGTAATAAACAATGCGGCTTAGATGGATAATAAGGTCAATTTTATAGGTCACCAGCGTAATTTTTTACGTGTTAATGCTTTATGTAAATTACAAAATACTTTTTTCGGATAAATTATGTTTTTATATGTCTGCTATCAACTCATATTTTCAATGATATATCGCACATTTTCTTCATTTCTATTTATAATAATTTATTATTTTTTTTCTCTCTCTCTCTCTCTCTCAGATTAATTAATTTATATATAATAAATTATTGTTTCATTACATAATTTTTTCATACTCATTACTAACAACGCAAATATATTTTATTGTTATGCTGTAATTATTAATCTTAATTTTTGTTTAATACTGTATATTAATATAAATATTTATAAATAATATACTGACATATATATATAAATATATGTAACTTTGTATGTAATGTAAGATAAAATTTTTCATTTTGATTATATATATATATTTCTTTAACGAATTGTGTAAATTAAATGAAAACTAAAAATATTGATTACGTTTTTTTTTGTATGCACTAATTCTGTTAATATAATTAGTAATAATTTATATTAGTAATAATATATACATATAAATGCATTATTACACAATTCCATTATTATTATTAATATTATTATATACCTATTTGACTATTGGCATTATTTGTCATATATTCGACCAATTTGTATATTTTTTTAAATATTATCACAAGAATAAATATATTATATTTTATTTATTTATTTATTAAAAAACAATTGGTAAATATTTGAGAATCATACTTTTTCGATTATAAAATACATTAATATATAAGTGTTATTTGTATTACGGTACACATTCCAGATATGATCATTAAATTTGTTCTTTATATTTATAAATGTATAAATTTGAAGCTACCTTAGATATTAAATACAATATGCAAAGAATACAATTAGTTATTTAATTGGTAATGCGATTTTCATTTCAAAGAAAATTTTATTCATCGATTGTAACACCAGTACCACCTAAACTTGTTGACATAACACCACAACCATATGCAATTAATTTTTGGGAAATATTTGATATAATTTCAGGTTGGGTATTAGGTGGTAATAAAATAAAAGCGTATCCTCCACCACCGGCACCTGTTAACTTTGCACCAAATTCATAATTTTGAGCTTCCATACATATTTTATCTAACAATGGATGAGACACTTGAAGTGCTGCTAAGAAATGTTGATTAATGTCGATGAGCGTCTAAAAGTAATCAAAATGAATATAAGAATGTATCTTATTCTAAAGGAATAGTTTTTAAAGATTGTAGGTTTCATTTACTTACTTTTAACTGACTGTATTTTTCATTCTCTTTGCTATCATTATCTGTTTGATTTGTATCATCTCCAGTAAGAATTTTTAATGCTTCTTTCGCTACATTATCTATAGCATCCATGATGCAATCAACAACAGTAGGAAACATTAATTTCAATTTAGTTGTTTTATCTATCATCGCTTTAGTGCTTCTTTGTACTTTAGTATCAACTAATAAAATTTTCAATTTCATCGCATTGGGTATCACCCTTACCCCATCGCCTTTTCTAAATTCTAGTATTGATCCATAAGTGCAAATGGAATTATCAATTCCGGATGGTGTACCGTGTAAGATCTTTTCACATTCGAAAGCATAATTTGTTATAATTTCTAAATCGCTTGCATCTAAAGTTTTACGGATATTTTTCTGCAAACGTGACCAATGAAAAAGACAAGCAGACAAACAAACCGAAAAAGAAGCCGAACTTCCAAGTCCAGAGCCAATTGTTAACTCTGTACTCAAAGTTATTTCAGCGGGTTTTACACTAATTCCTTCTTTTTCAACTATGTATATGAATAAATAAAAAAAAGCTTCTAAAGATAATTTTTGTAGTGATTGATTAGAATAACCTAGATCGCTTGAGAGTCGATGAATATCATTAGAAAAATTATCACGATTGTTTTCTAAGCAATAAGTTTTATAAATATTAATATATGATACTATTAATGAAATGGGCACGCTCAACTTCAAGTTCACATTATGAAAATTTAATTTTATAACATCATTTACTTCTTCTATCTCTTGAAATATTAAATTCGTACGTAAATTCAAACTAGCTGCTAGTGCAGTTTTTCCATACATAACTGCATGTTCACCGAACAAAATAATCTTTCCCGGTGCAGATACCTTAAATGAGATCATTTCTGTACGAATAGATTATTAAATCCTGATACAATATTAACAGTGAAAAATATATTATTGAGTTTTCTTTTCAAACTATAAAATAACTGCTGTTATGATATCTAAGTGTAATATGATATGAAATTATATTTGTTGTTTCTTCCACTGTTCTGATGTAAATGTTTTTACTGAAAATGCATGGATTATTTTCAATTCTTCTTCTAGAATTGAATGTACCAACCTATACAATATAAAAAATTGATCATATTAATATTACATCATATATAAGGTATTTGAGCTTATTGCAGTTAAATGATATCAGCATATTCTAAGTAATAATAAAAAGAAAAGAAAATATTACCGATGTTGTTGCAACAAAGTTTTGCCTTCGAATTCATCAGAAACAATAATTACAGTAAATTTAGAACCGCAACCATCGGAATCATCTGTTACCTCCTGAAAAAAAGAGAATATTAATAGTTAGACTATGATAAATAAAAATTCTCTCAAATATAATAACAATACCTATGAAACACATGTAAATATGTTGCAGTAAAACAATCATATGCAAAGTTCGATAACTTTATTTCTCATTTTTATATACCATTTGCAATAAATACACGAAAAGAGTATTTGGATACAACTAAACTCTGGAATAAGAACTTAACATCTAGAATGAAGACTTTTTTATATTCATTATTCATATACAAGTTATATAACAGATCAAAGTTCACTTTAGTTGAATTATTAATATAATATTGAAAATATTCAAATATTTTCTGTACCGTTGACAAATAAAAATCGTTTTAAAATTTGAACACATAATATTTACAAATACTTAAACATTAAAAATTCTATAGTTATAATAATTTTGAATAAATTGAACATATATATATAATATGAAAGTAATAAAAAATATTCCCTTTTTGAATATTTAAACCTCATATTTATTTCTTTGTATTACAAAATACAAGTAAATCATTTATACAATCTCTGTTATATCATATAAAATACATGAAATGAAACTAAAAATAAGCAATTACATTATACTTAAGAAAGAAAGCCCCCAATTCAATATATTTTTAACCTAGTTGCAAAATTATTATCTACAAGTATAAATTGTTTATAACAGAAATATAAAAAGAAAAGAAAAAAGTGAATGCACGAATACACGGATATCAATAATACAAATAAATCTGGGTATTTTTCAGGTGGTTTTAAACAATGAATAGTAAAAGATAAAATTACCATTCCTAGCATAGAAACGTAAAATAATGTCTTAATAATGAAATTATATCCGTAATGATACTCTAATTTATGCATGAAATTAAACAAATATTTATTGAAATAGTGTTTATGCTTTGATATTTTTTGACCGTTTGTTTTTCCTCTGGAAAATTTTCTTTCACGTTTGTCAGATTTATTTGCATAGTCAAATAAATCTGACCACATCCAAATGATAGAAAGAAAATAAAACATTGTCGTTGCAAAGTATGCTAGATACAAATTATCTTTTACGTACAATGGTAACATACTAAAATGAGAAACTAATAGTAACCAAAAACATGCTAAAGGATCATTATGAAAATACAATAACACTGGAATGGATACTAAAAGAATAGACTTTTCATGAACTTGATATGAAAATAAAAAGAATGCCAATGAAGAATTTATAAGAGAAATAATAAATTTATCTTTTTTTGGACATAGATACAAATTAATACAAACTGGTAAAACAGCGATGGTCGTTATTACCAAACAAATTTGTGCCAATTGTTCGTTTGTAAAGGTGTTACGTAATTTGTAAAGAACATTTATTGTACACCATACATTAGCAACTTTGTCTTCAAACACGCCTCTATTAAATGGGAATAATCGTAAAACTGTACTCATAAAGGTGTTCCGATCTTTAAGGAAAGGTAACCAAATAATAATAAATGTTATTAAAACGGTTAATGATACTGAAACTAATCTATAGATTGATAAAAGCAACGATTTGGTCTTACCGATTCTACACTTTCCAAGTATGTAAAAAAAGAATGGCAAAGAATGATATAATTCCATTTGCTTGTAATTTAATGCTAATACAAAGAAAAATGAACCGCCTACAAAAGAGTCAATTAAAATAGCTGTTACAGCGGCAGTGAAAAACCCTAACGATATACAATTATATTGAAAGTGACCGTGATCTATCATCATAATGCCAGGATAAATCAATGCGCTTAAAAGAATAAAATCTTTATTTTTAAAATTAAACAAATTATTATACTCTGTTATAGGATTCTTAATCGTTGGCATGTTTATAACGTACCATATCATTGCTGGCAGAAAAATCATAGCATCTGCGAAAAGAACGGTCATTCTCATAAAATATTTATGATCCGGGGAGGATATACCTCTAGACTCGTGTAATTTAACGTAAGAAGGATTGGTCAAGTTAGCAATATAACCTAATAGAAGACTATGATACGCAGTCAAGGGAGGATAATCTAAGCCCCAATATTGAAGATCGTTGTCCGTCGTATTGACGTACCATTTTTGTATAGGCAGATTTAAAGTTATTTCTTGCCAATGTCGTTGAGCCTCATAATCTCCATACATAGGAGGTTTATCTTGGCCACTGTGGGAATGATAAGTAATGCACCATCTTAAAATGAGTGCAAAAATAAAGATGAGTACTACTTGCATAGATCCATGCAGACCCATTTCTTAAAATGATCTTATACAATGAATCGATTAAATAAAGTATACTTGAGTTACTTTAATACCGATGTTATAGGTTAACACTGTAAATTTGGAGGTTATAACAGATTCAATATTTTTAAGAAACAAAAAATAATAAAATATGTTTAATTTAATGTTACGTACCACGTGCGAAGCATTCAATTTTTTGGTTAGTTTATCTTGAATATATTCCTGAGTATACGACATTGTTTTCTTTTTTCTTTTTGATTTTAGAAATAATGTATTAAATTACGAATCTCTCTTATGACGTTAAATATTTGCACAAATTATTAAAGTTTCTCTCTCTCTCTTTCTTTCTCTCTATTCGTTGATTTTTCACTATACGTGCAAACCTATGTATAAGCAGAAACGAATAGAATGGCGATATCTCTCTGAACTCTGACCTATCTGACTTTCGATATTTATTTTCAAGTTTATATCGATTTGTATTTAACTAATTAACTATTTTCCTTTTATTCTTTTTTAGATGTTTCATTTACGTTGCGAATTTTAACGTTTTAACTTGAAATCCTTGTTTGAAAATATCATGTTTCATTGAAATTTAATAATTGTTCATCGAATTTGTCTTTTTTATTTGTTTAATTTTTTTTATCACCGTAATTAATATTATATAATTGATTGAAAATGATTTACCTTATGAACAATGAAATATTTCATTAAAATATATATTAATAAGAAACAATAGAGTTAGATAAAAACCAAATAAAAGTCAACAGGTTATACTATAATTAACGAACGTCTGTCCAGTTTACCACATCTACGTGTCACTGATGATAAAATACATAAAAAAATAAAACTTGTTTGACCAACGCCTTTACATTCATAGAAACGTTGAATAATATATATTTATCTACAATTATATATATATATATAATATATATAAGATAATTATTTGCACGATATAATTTCTATTATTTTTTTAAAAAATTTAAATTTTTACAAATTCAAAATGGCGTATTTGCAGAATGGCCCAAAATTTTGAATACGATAAAATGTTTTGTAAATAATGTAATTTTAAATAAAAAGATTTCTTAGAAAAGTCGTAAGGTTTATTAAAACTTATTGTACGATTACAGGAAGTATGAACCTTTCAACTTTCGTTTAAAACTTTCTTTTAAAAAATTACATCGTGTACGTAATATTTAATTGTATGCAGATTCTTAGGGCCATCCCACTAAAGTATAATTGATTATCATAGAAATTAAATTTAATTAACAATGAGTTTCTATTTTTCTTTTTTTTCTTTTTTACAATAACAAATACACAGGCGAATAATAATTTTATGTAACATAAATATATACGTTTATACGTGTATAAATTAAATGAATGAAAAGATTATTAATACATTTTCATCGCTCATGAAATATGTTTCCCGTACTTAAATATAAATAAATTCAATTATCATAAAATAATGAGTAATTAGGTATAATATAATCGAGATTTAGATTTATTCTTTCCCTTTTCGATATTTAATAAGTATATATATATATATACTTTCATGTGGATGTTTAAAGGGAGCGCGAGTCTACGCACGAGGAAAGTTTTTTATATCATATTTTGTAAGAATTGTCGTTTTGTCTATACTTATATGTTGAGTGTCCCTTAGAATAGTACTTCGTAACGTTTACTAGATTTTTGTTCGAAAACAATCGAGATATAATGTGTGTCTAGAACGAAGAAAATTTAGAAATAAACACATTAATATAAAAAGGTTTTCATAATATCTATTAATATATATTGTGTGTATTAAAAAAAATTCCGATCTGATATTTAATTATATGAAAATTTTCTATTATAAATCATAGCTGATCTGAAACGTTAAAAACTATGTAAAATATTAATTAAGTACATTGGAATGTTCGATATATTCTAAATGATTTTTAATTAATAAAAATAAAATCTATATTTTAGTTTAAAAAAATATGGAATATAATTTAGATGTACCTTCCTCTTCAAAAACTCCCGTTAGACTCACTTCTTTATCCTCAGTGAAAGTTCTTTTATTAAATGTTGCTTATATTACTTTTCGAAGGCTACATATTCATAACAAAAATAATATTCGTAATAAATAAAATTTCCTTATTTGGAAAGTCATATAAACAACATTTAATAAAAGAACTTTCATAGAGGATAATGCATCAGTCTAACGGTGAATTCCGAAGAGGAAGATACGTAAAATTTATTTTCCGTACTTTTAGATTACAATATACATTTTTCTTCGATTAATTATCAATCATTTAAGGTATATCGAATATTCTAATGTAACTCTAATAATATTTTCGATTATTTTAGTGTTTCTGACCCAGCGATGATTTTTAGTGGAAAATTTGTATCTAATAAAATATCAGATAAAAATTGTTTTTCTCTCTCACATTTCAGGTATATTAACAAATATATAATGTTTTACCAGATGTTTTTATTCATTTTAATTTAATTGATATTAAAATGATTCTGATATTAAAAATCATTTAAATAACAGTAAAAACAAAGGATAATCAATTGTCAAACATGAAAAAATCTTTTTGTTCTTACCGTTATACCAACACTTACGATTTTAAAGTACGATCATTTTTTGTACACTATTTTCGTATTTGTTAAATTTATTTGTTATAAATCAAATTAAACTAATTAAATATATAATTAACCCCTTGCACTCGAGGGCTCCGCTACGGAGACAATAAAATAAAAAATAAAAATTGAAACGAATTCAATTCAGTCTAAAACATATCAAATATGATTTTTCTTTTAACTACACATATGTCATTTAGTTATATACGTGAATATGATTTTTTTCTATTGAAATTGCTTTTTAAGTTGTTAGTAATATGTGAAATGAAAAATATAACTTCGAGTGCAAAGGATTAATGTATAATAAAGTATTTATTTTGAAATTTTCTTCATTTTAAACACACTATATTAATAGTTTTCAAGGAAAAATTTATTAAGCGTTTTAAGGGAACACTCATTCTGTATATAGATTTCGTGTATATTATATATGTGCACAGAATATTTGAGAAAGTGATCATTTCAGGAACTTTATCGTTTTTTAAAACGAATCGAAATGATCTAATTCCATAATTATTGATAATTCGTTGAGTTATATGCAACGCGCAATAAAAGTGATCGATAGCTCTTATAATTAATTACAAACATATATTTCGAACAAACTGATTCTTTTCGTTGATCCTAACAATTCTAATAATCACTATATTGCTTTTCTTTTTTTTCTAGGCAGTATCACAATGAATCAGCGAAATTTAATTATCTAATAAAGTTTTAATACGATTGATTTTGTCGAGCGTAGCACATCCTATCTGGCAACAAATCTAACAATGTTTTACTTACACGACTTAATAAATAATTACGAATATCATCGCCTTCGTTTAATTAACAAATTTGTACTTATATAAAATTAATTATAGATATCTTACGATTTAACGTATAGATTCATAAAAATATTTGCAATTTCTCGGAAATGCCTTTATTTCTATCTAACCATTGCAATTAAATTTTTTTTTTTAAATTGTTAGTTGTAACGTCTTCATTTTAAATATTTCAAATGCATAATAACGATATAAATACATATGTACTAAGCTTCAACGTTATCGCGCAATAACTTATTATCAAATGACGTAGATATTTCATTACGAGATAGTCCAAATAGTAGATAAAAATTAAACTAGATAGATATTTCGATAGTATATAACAGCGAAATTGATTGGAATAATAAAATTATTTTAAAAATTTTCTCATTTGTTTCGTCTGATGTTGCATACTGTATTGAGCATTTTCGGCTTTAGTTATCAAAGAATCTAATTTGCCCAAATGTGAGCCCATTTTTGCATTGATGTCAATTTTTTTAGTCATCGCAATGTTATCGTTACTTTCATCAGAAATTATGGGATTTTTCGAATTCTCCGATAAATCGACTGTCATACTTTCTTCTTCTTCCGTTGGTAACGTTATTTGTTCTTCTTTTCCTTCTTTTACTTTATCATGTTCCAATGATTTGTGATTTGGTGTACCACTACGTGATCCTACCTTCACTTTGAGCAACGTACTCAGACTACCACAAACGGTCTGCACACAAATATTTTCTTATTAAACAATATCGTGACAATTAAAAGGGATAAAGTATTTCAAATATATCAAATGATTACCTTAAATCTGTTGATTTTTTTTTGAGTTACATTTAAAATGCTATTCAATTCATCTAATCCACCGCTAACTCTTTGAGCACTTTCGTTCGAACTGTCCAAATTCTATAATACAAAACGACAATATCGTGTATACTATTATTATAATCTTTTTACAAATTTTTTCTTTTTTTTTTTTTTTACATAATCGCAAGAAAATACTACAATTTGTGATATGAAACTTTTTTTTATGTTCATGCGTAATTTATTGGCAACTATGAGCTAATAACGAAAATAGGTAAAGTAAATTGTTAGAAAAAGGGAAGCTGAAGTTTACCTGAAGGATCGCGTCATCATCGTCCCCGGGTTCGGCATTATTAGCCTCCTGTGCTTTTTGATTTTCAGTCCATTCTTCGAAATTGGGAATAGGCAAACCAAGTAATTCTGCTCTCTCGACAGCATAATTGTAGGCTTCAGACATTATACAGGATCAATCACGTAACAGTACTTTAGGAGTCTCTAACTACGAGTATGTACCTTTGATGAATCAATCAATTAATTACGTAGTTATTAACGATAAAACGTTTAGGCTCGATTACGATGATATTTTTATATTAATTCAAATGAAAATTTTCAAATGTTGATATACTCAACAAACGTATTCTTCTGTTAAGATATTATATAGATTTACTTTCTTTTCTTGAAATTTCTACAGAAATTATCTTCAAATGGTTCACCTTCAATGTACAGAACAATCAAATATTTTAATTTATCTTGAATAAAATGATTCGAGTTAGATTTTAGATATAGGGTTAATAATCACCATCACGTTGCTGGAAGACTTGCCCAACTCAGGAATCCATATTGGGATGAATTGTGCGCAAACTCGAATAGAAGTAACGATAAAAGGGCTATGGCATTGTCTTAAAGTCCCTGCCTTATCAAGTTCAATCCGATTTTTAAGCTTTTACCAGTGAATAAGTTTTTCAAATCTGATCGTAACATATTTTAATTGCGAAATTAGAATATCGTTAGAAAAATGATTAAAAGAAAATGATCGAGCATGAAATTTAATCCGAACGATATTCGAAATTATTTCATTGCGAATTTAGGATGTATAAAAATATATAGAGGAAACAAGTTATGCATCATATATAGACATTATTACGTTATAGAGAAATCTAATCGAAATGAAATATAAAAATTTTTAGGATCGATAGAATCGATACACGATGTTGAGCAATTTGCATTTATCAAGGTTTTGTAGAAGCCCGCGGTGATAATACGATGAATGATATTTCGAAGCAAAAATTCGAGCTAACGAATGAATAAGGGAAAATATAAAAATAACTCGGTCGTACGATCTATACAAAGTCGTACTCGTGGCATGGAAATACGAATATTTCGTGTCAGTGGTTTTCAAACTTTTTTTTTGAGATAAGGTTTGCCGTTTTACAATAAAAAAAAAAAAATACAAAATATTCTTCCAATTTTATGTTAATGAAAATACGTATTTTTACAATTATACTTCTACCATACGATTGTATATGAGTATGAATTAAAAATGAAAATAAGAGAAAGAGATATTTTCTATAAAAAATCATACAACTTTTACATGTTTAATTTATTATCAGCATGATACAAAACAAGAATAAAAAAAAATATTTAAATAAAATAAAATTTTACTCGTTATGTGTGTGTAATATTTTAGTTTGTAATTATTTTTTTGATCTATAACAACTACCATTGGTATTGAGACTACGTCGAATGATTTGAATACCCCTGTAATATGTGATCTACTATTTTGTGCAAATAAAAATAAGAACTTAATAAACAATTTATTAAACGAAATACACGTGCTTCTAGTCTTGTGTCTTGTCTATGAACTTGAATACGTAGTAATTGAATAATCATTATGTCTGGACACGTGGATAGATGTATAAATTAACATAAATAATTTAATTACAGAAGTATCTACGCATGTCAACTTGGAGGATGAATGTAAGAAGAGTGCAAGGAGAGCTGTTTAGAAGCCTTTTCTTTTTTTTTCTTGATATTATTGCACCGTATTAAATTTCCAACGTCGGCGAAATATTGGCCGACTTATTTATCTTCGGTCAGTCTCGACAACGTTTGTCTCTCGCGAAGAGATCTTTAACGACTGTATATTTGATTCATTAGTGATAATACGTAACGTATCGTAATATCCATGCAAATTTTTCGCAACGAACGAACACACGAGAAGATAGGAAACAGTTTTTCCCTGTATCTCGTCTGCTGATCAGTCTGGATTCCTCGTTAATGCAGAGCTAAGATGGTAACGTCTTTTTTTCTGACTTCGGTAAAAAATAAAAACAACCAAGACAATGAGAATAACATTTGCATCCTATTTTGTCACTCGAGATAATTCTCATTCGCGTGTAGCTACGATCGCGACAACCTTGATAACGCAGACATTTTCTTTTTTTTAAACATAAACAAATTCTAACGAAAACAACGATGTAAATCGTTAAAAATAGCACGTATATATTTTCAAATATAATTCATCTAACATTTTAAGTAATACTTCGATAAAACATATAATTCCAATATTAAAAATTATTTAATAAATTAATAAAATAAAAAAAACATTTATTAGGTAAAATGACTTAACGTTATATTTACAAAATAAATGCACTTTATATCATTTAATATTTACGATCTAACTAACAATAAGTAAACTCTCCAAGTTTATTCATTATTCATAATCGTATGCGCGATAAAGCAGCTTGAAAGTCGCGCGCACTGATTTTCGAGCGTTCGGAAATCTTCGTACATAACGACCAATCATCGCGTAACCTTTTACTTCCTTCGGGTAGATTCGTGGATAGAACGCGGTCAGGATTTCCCCTTCTCCGTTGTTAACGCGAGTGGTCGTGAAAGTCGAACAACGCTGATGGGATGTGTCTTGTTTCAGTTCGGTCAGCGACGTACTGCACGAAGCAGTTTGGGAGCGTCTCCTCTGTGCTTTCTTCCATTCGCTTTCACTATCATCCTTCTCTCTTACACTTTCGTATCTCGTGCTGCAGTGTATTATATATATACTTATATCCACGCTGTTACAGGCGGCCGAGCACGACAGACTTTGTGTCTCGCATGAGTGTGTTTGTATGTATGTATATATACGCGTATAGGTGATTTGTCTCTTTTTCTTACACATTCTTACATACACATACCACACCATACACCGAATATACCATTCTCTCAGAGTATATAGTTTTCTCTTCAACGAGAAATCCTTAATTTTTGTTTGAGTATACCGAGTAAATATGTGCAGTTTTTAGTGCTAATCAAATGATTAGAGAGAAAAAAGAAGACAAAGGTAATAGAGAACAAAAAAAAGAGGAAAGTAGAAGAAGAGATATGGAAGTTTATTGAGGGTTCCTTCTTCACAAATGCACGCCGTTTTGACAGCACAACACACAGAAGCAGAAACAGGGCAACGGCCCAGACGGTTTCCTAGCGTCTCTTCACTTGGATTCTCTTCTTCCCCCCTTTCTCATCCTGTCGGTCGAAGCTCCCTCATCGTTTCTTCTGTCTCTGTTTTTCTTACCAAACATTTATGAGCCAGAGAAAAGACCAAAAGCACGCCTCCTCTAACACACAACCACCAATAACCATCACCACCACCACCATCAAAAGGAACATTTTTTCAAGATTTGAACAGGAATTCATATTTTGCAACGTATTGGTGAGTTTTTATTAGTTTTTCATTTCTTGCGTTCTTTCAACCTTTTTTTTCTTTTTTATCGATTTTATTTATTATTTACAAATTCAAAAAAGAAAGAAAAAAAAAACGTAAAGAATAGTCGCGAGAATTTTATTTTACAATCGAAGAATCATATTTCGCATTGTATCCTTTTTCTTTTCATTTTTTTATGTGATCATTTATTTTATTTTTCTTTTTTTAATTCCTTAACACCGACGATTATCTCACCGGCCAATCAGATGCATTCTAAGAATTTTAGTAGGCGGAAATTAAATGGTCGCGAAGGTGGGAGAGATTAACATGAATCGAATTAATGTAATCAATTAAATATATTCTTTAAATTTTATTTATTGAACTTAGAAGTTCTCGAAGAAAAAAAGCAATAGAGGGTCAATCATTCTAAAGTTACGAAAATGTCAGTTGTTTCGTTAAAAATCTAATAAAATCTGATATATTTTTTATGTTTGCTCACTTTACATTATAATTTTGTTAAGGTTTTAAGCATCTTTTTTTGAATCAGGGATGATTTTATCGACCAATCAGATTAATTCTAAGAATTCGAATGGGTGGAGATAAAATGGTGATCAAGATCTGAGAATATTTAATAAGTAAAATATCAATTTAAATCGATTATATTTATTCATTTTAGGAATTTTTCCAATAATAAGATAAATAAGAATATAGAATAGTCTCTCGTTTTAAAATCGCAAAAATGTCAGTTCTCTCATAAAAAAAAAGTCGAAACTTGATATTTTATCTCTTTCTTTTCTTTCTTTTTTTTTTACGTCATCATTTTTTTTTTAAAGTTTAGTTAATCTCTTCCAACCAGCGAACTATCTCGTTGGCCAATCAGATGCATTCTAAGTATTTTAGTAGGCGGAAATAAAATGGTTGCTAATATGAGAGAAAGTTTAAGATAAATAAAATCAATTTAATCCAATTATATTCTTTTTGGATGATGTTTATTGAACTTAGAAGTCCTCGTAAATTTTTTTTTCGATTTTTTTTTTCAGGCTCAAGCATTTAAATCGAAATATTTCTCGAAGCGTGGCTGCCGTATCGTAACGGCATGGAAAAATCCACGCAATCCCCGTTATTCCGTTTCCTCGTCCATGATCGGGTTTATATGTTGTGTGTGTGTGTCGTGTGAGAACATAAGAAAGATTATGGTTGTATTAGCTTACCCAACGTTCATTCGAAAGAAGGAATTGCATTATAATATAATAGCCTATGGGCTATGGGCTACGATAACTCTACATTTTTGAATAAAACATACGTTCATATACTATTTATATTGACTCCTTTTTTTATTTTTTTCTATTTTTTTCTTTCATATAGAAACATAACAGATCAGCTGATGCAATGCTAATTGTAAGAAAGATTGTAATTCTATCATTATCTCCTTCCCTCTTCCCTTCCCCCCCATATCATACTTTTCTTTCATTTCTTTAATCGATTTATCGCAAGTACAATTTGCGATCGAGGTCGGGTCGAAATTCCTTGGCTCTTTATACTTCCGCTTTGAAGAAAGTTTTATCTAAGCTTATAGATAGTAAACAAAAATATGGAAATTAACATTTGGAAATGATTTTTGTCAATGATTGAAATTTTATAGCGATTAAAATTGTAATATTTTTATGTAATTTTATCTAAAGTATTATTTTATTATACTGACAATGTGAATTGTGTTCATTTTAGTCGAGTCGATTAACTCTATTTTATCAAAGTATAGAAAAAATTGATTGAAGTTGTATGAATTCGAACATTCTAATCGTTCATTATTAAACTATCATAATAATTTTGGTTATATTTATCGGTTTTAAGCCTATTAATCTTTAATTTAAAGAAATTGATTTTATATAGGGTAATTATATTAAATATGGCAATGTGTCTATTTATTTATCAATATTTAATTAGATTATGTAAATTGGTTTTAGGCGAATTTAACTAAAGTAATATATATTTATGAGCTTCAAATGGACTTACACCACTTTCAAAATTAATTAATTGTAAAAATCATTTAATTTCAATTTTGAAAAATCAAATTTCACTTAAAATATACTTATAATAAATTAATATACTTATAATAAATATAATATTAATCCAATTTTGTTTACAAATAATGACACGATATAAAATAGAAGTAGTATTTTTACTTTTAGACGCTAATTACATTGTTAAAATTACAAGATATAAATAGTATTTACTCTCTTATGCTCTGCATGTGGCAGTGTTTCGAAATATGCATGATGCACCGGAGGTATATAAGGTAATAACCGCTTAATATCTTTATATTTTTCATAAGTAATAGGCCTGGCATCTAATATATTTAATACATTTTGCTTATTAAAATCACCTATATTCCAGAACTTATCAAAAATTGCTTTACGTTGTGTTTCATTAAGACGTTTTATACATTTCTTTGAGCAATTACAATTTTTGGATTCAAATTTTTTTGAATTGCTGGAATGAATTTTTCTCTTTTTGTATAGTACTTTTGTCCAGTATTTCGCGTAATTTTGTTTATTCGTTGCATATATTTTCCTTTATTTTGTTCTGCAGAATCTAAGTTTTCAATAACAATATCCTTATCTGATGAAGATTTTACCTCTATTATTCTTCTTCTCTTTTTACGATTCGTTAATTTGTTGTTCATAGCGGAATTATCTTCATCCTCTGAATCTAAGATTATTCTTCTGTTTATATTCATGGGCTTTATTTCTGTGTGAATTTATTTAAAATTAAATAAAAAAAATATTTTCAATTGTCATAAAATAATATTGATTTACCATTTGTTCTTACCTATATCACTATCTGATGTTAATATGAAGTTATACATTTTAGGAAAAAAATAGAATAAGTAACCTAAACTAGTAACTTTTGACATGTAATGTGACATGTAATATAAAACAAACGTAATAAAATAACAGGTTACTGATCGGCAACCATCTTCTAGGTCACCTACCTATTTCAATTGGACTTACACCACTTTCATAATCGATGATTATGCAAATTTATTTACCGACCAATTTTAACTTGTATAAAACATGGGAGTTTTTAAAGAAATTAAACATGAACTAGTTATACATAAAAAATTTACATTAAATTAAGCATGAATTACATATCTCATTATTTTTAAAAATGAACTTACATTACTTTCAAAATAAACGGCCCATATATTTTATTTGTTTAATATATTTCGTAGTATAAAGTAATTTCTTTTTTTTTTTTTTTTGAAACAATAGAAGAACAGCATAAGTCTTTTAGTAAACTTTTTTTTTCATACGCGTAATTGCGTGGGTGCGTAAAATAATAATAGAAGAGAGAGAAAGAGAAAAAAAAGATAACGAATTATTTGTTATTTCTTTCTAAAGATTTAAAACACAGGGCTTTTTCTTATTTCGTCGAACTCTCATACGTATATCTATAATACTAACATACTATAATATATGCACACGTAAATTGAATTTCCGTTCCGATCAGTATATAAGGATGATTCAGTATAATAAAATATTTAAAAAATTCACGAAGGATATAAATACAGCTGATATTCGTAAATGTAGATAATAATGTACTATCCAAAATTAACTATAATACCAAACGTTTATTATAATCATTTAACTATATAATTACATTTTATTCAATGTGTAACATAAATTATTAAATGCATATATATTAGAAAAATTTGCAATAACATCAAATTTATTATGTTTTCAAATGATTTGTTAATTCATTAATTTCATTAGTTATAAATTTAGTATAATCTCAAATGTATTTTAATATTTTTTTTTTATTAAGTACTTGCTCGTTAATAAAAATGCATCCTAGTCGAAAAATGAGTTTCGTTTGCGTCTCTTTTTGGAAATCAACGTTAAAAAATGCTATTCGATATACTCATTGCTTCGGATTAACATAAAAAAAGTATATTAGAAATCATAATACTTCGTTCATTCGATTCAATTTTTTTCCTATAGTGGATATGAATATTGATGGATGTATCTCATTTAATTATATACATATTTATATGCTTATAAAGAAAGAGAAAAATTTTTTATTTCCTTCATTAAAGCAGTTTTTATTATTAACTTTCCATTTGAAGAATTTCAATTGATAATATTCGATATAATATGAAAGAAGGAAATCATTATTTTGATTGATCGATTATGCGAGATAAAAATAAATAATCACTATAATGATGTATCTTACGATCGTTCATTGAACTATCTTATCTTTTTATACTTAAACGATTTTTTATTTATTACTTAACATTAAAATTATCTAGATTAATCATCACGATTATTTTCAATAGAATTTTTATTATATATATTTATTATAATAAAATTATTATATATATAAAGGAATAAAGAAAAATACACTCATTGTCAAACAAACATGTGCACACGAAGAATAAAAATTTATTTTCCTCGGATAATATACATATACAGGGTGATTCACCGGCTCTTGCCATCTAAATAACTTCGAAAGTATGATAGTAGCAGAAAAGTGGATGGAGAAGAAGTTTCATGAAAAATTCAGGACTATAATATGACATTAGTATTTTTTTGCTAGGTTGAGATATTTTCGAGATTTATTGATCAATATTTTGTTTTTTTTAAATACAATGTTATATTTTAATACTTATTTTCACATATCGACTGATAGGGCAAATTCAATGATGTGCAACATTAAATACAAAACCTGACAATGACCAATAAAAACTATTCGAAAAATATTAGTTCCGTCCATTGTCGGAAAAATTAAAGGATGACGTAACCCTGACACAACCCTGACGTGACCATGACGCGGAAGAGTTGTATTGTGGCCGACTTGTTCGCCAATTTTTACCTTCATTGACCTTCAAAAATATTAATGTTGCACATTACTGGATTTGTCTTAGTAGCCGCTATCCGAAAATAAGTATTATAATATAACATTGTATTTAAAAAAACAAAGTTGACCAATAAATCTCGAAAATGACTTAA